ATGGAAACATCAGATATGATGCAACTCAACAAGGAAAAAGAGTAGGGCGAGGGCACAGATTTGGCTCGATGTAGAGATAAGAGAAAGATGAGGTACAGCTGGCTTCCTGGGCTTCACCAAGAACCAGGACCAGTGGACATTCTGTGAGGTCTGATGAAATTCAGTGAAACAGATAATAGTTCAAGATTGCCTGCTCTGGAGGATAAAAACACTTAGTTCCAGAGGAGGGCCAGTGCTGTGGAGTAGACAGGTTCTTGATGAAAATGACCATGATGGCTTTGCGGCTGGTTACAGGTAAAAGAGGAAATGGGTAGAAAGTCTATGGTATATGCAGCTAAGGGTGAAAGGCCAGGACATAGAATGCATCAAGTGTTGAGGCTCTAGTAGACTAGAAGGAAGTGTTGAGGCTAGGAAGGTGGATGGCTATGTGATAGTAAAGCTCTTGAGATGAGCTTGGACTTGATGATGTAAGGGAGTGCTGGTCCAGGGTTAGGGGCAGCTTTGATGATTGCCATCTTCTGTACTCCCCTTAGGCAACAGGACCTGTACCGAATCCTGAAGGCCTATACCATCTACAGGCCTGACGAGGGCTACTGTCAGGCCCAGGCCCCAGTGGCTGCTGTGTTGCTCATGCACATGCCTGCTGAGGTCAGCATAAGTGGACCTGTTTGGGGTGGGGGTGAGAGGATCTAGACATACCATGGTGAAGGGAGAGCTGCGGACTTCCTGCTTCTCAGGCCCCATCCCTGTCTCTTGTTCTTGCCCTTCTTAGCAAGCGTTTTGGTGCCTGGTACAGATCTGCGACAAGTACCTCCCAGGTTACTACAGCGCAGGGCTGGTGAGTGTCTGGAAGCTGGGTGCAAAGGGGCTGTGACTTTCTCCAAGGCTGCCTTAGGTCCTTGCCGTGCCTCATTTGTCCTTCGTCTCTCTACCACTGAGGTTAAGACAGCCTCATAGGTTTGATTGTACCCTGAGGGGACCATATCCAACCAGACCCACTTCTTATGGCTCTTCCCACCACCTCTAGGAGGCCATTCAGTTGGATGGAGAAATCTTTTTTGCACTCCTGCGCCGGGCTTCTCCGCTGGCACATCGTCACCTTCGGCGGCAGCGCATTGACCCTGTGCTCTACATGACAGAGTGGTTCATGTGCATCTTTGCCCGCACCCTCCCCTGGGCTTCAGTGCTGCGTGTCTGGGACATGTTTTTCTGTGAAGGTATTTTAGTGGCTGACCAGGTTGAGGGGGGAGGCTAGGATTTGTCACTTTACTGGTAGCCCATAGACAAAAGTTTTGTTGGGCCTAGGCTTCATAATAAACAAGTCTATAGGATGGAAAAACAGGACCCATCTTGGTTTAGCCACCAACTTAGAGTCTGCTTACTCTCTAAGAAATCTACAACCCATAGCAACTCTCTTTACCTGTAAGGCTGGCAATAAACAGCAACGGGGCTGTCTGGCCTTCATAAGACAGGTTGAGATCCTGGACCTGATCTCTCTTTGCATTCCTCTCTGACCCTGTAGGCGTTAAGATCATTTTCCGAGTGGCTCTGGTTTTACTGCGACACACACTGGGCTCTGTGGAAAAGCTGCGCTCGTGTCAAGGCATGTATGAGACCATGGAGCAGCTTCGGAGCCTGCCCCAGCAGTGTATGCAGGAGGACTTCCTGGTGCATGAGGTAAGCCGGGGACCTGCACAGCCTGCCTGCTGCAGCCCACTCTCACACAGGCCTATACTCTGGCTCCCATGTCTCTATCTAGGTGACCAACCTCCCAGTGACAGAAGCATTGATTGAGCGGGAGAATGCAGCCCAACTCAAGAAGTGGCGAGAAACTAGGGGAGAGCTGCAGTATCGGCCCTCACGGCGACTACACGGCTCCCGAGCCATCCATGAGGAACGCAGGCGCCAGCAGCCACCCCTGGGCCCTTCCTCTAGCCTCCTCAGCCTCCCTAGTCTCAAGAGCAGAGGCTCCCGGGCAGTTGGAGGGGCTCCTTCCCCACCACCTCCTGTCCGCAGAGCTAGTGCTGGGCCTGTCCCTGGGGCTGTCATCATTGCTGAGGGACTGCATCCATCCCTCCCTTCACCTACCGGCAACAGCACCCCACTAGGCACCAGCAAGGAGATCAAGCGACAGGAGAAAGAGCGGCAGAAACAGGAGAAAGAGCGAGAGAAGGAGCGGCAGAGACAGGAGAAGGAGCGGGAAAAGCAGGAGAAGGAGCGGCAGAAGTGGGAAAAAGAGCAAGAGAAGGAACAGCAGAAGCAGGAAAAGGAGCGGCAGAAGCTGGAGAAGAAGGGCCAAGGCCGGAAACTTTCCTTGCGTCGAAAGGCAGATGGGCCCCCAGCACCCCATGATGGTGGGGACAGGTCAGCAGCTGAGGCCCGGCAGGATGCTTACTTTTGACCTCTCATTGGGTCTGGATGGCATGGCCCTCCTCCTTTCCCCTCAGCCAAGAGCAGCCCTGGCAGGGGTGTTCTCCCAGCTCCATTAGCAGGCTTTCTTTTTCTAAGGAAAGTGGCCTGATTTCCCTGACTCCTTGCCAGCTGCTGATCCCTCCATGGCCAGGACAGCCACAGTGCATGGGACAGCTACATTACCTAGGGTAACAGTGACCAAGTCTGGAGACTCTTTTGTCCAGTTAGGCTCAGCTTGGGTCTCTGTCACTCCTATGAAGTCCTTCTGGGGTACTGTCTTAATTTGCCTTTTGTCACCACAGTGACTCTTGGCAATGGCAGTTAGCAGTTGCAGATTCTTACACTCTGGTGGCTTCCCTTAGATGGTGGAGCTAGGTTCCTTTTCCTTTCTTGGGGCCCTACCTGTCACCCCACTGTCCTTCTGGGGGCCAAGGCTGTTTTCTCTCCTGGATATCCTTGTGTTGTAATTATGTACAGAAGGTCAGGTTGGCCTGGGGTGGGTGCTCTGTCCTTTCCCCTTTCCACAGCTTCTACACTCCAGTTTATTTAAGAGGATATGCTAGGAAGTGTCCTCCGTCTCCTTCCCACTCCTGTTCTGCTCTTCCCTGACTCACTTGCTTTGTATGCTCAGGCCTCTCTGCTGTAGTCAGAAAGCCTATCCATTTTGTTCCTTTCCAGTGTCAAGCCCCTCTCTGAATAAGGGTCTTCCCTTGAATCCAGGGGGTGGAGCCCAATGTTTACATTCTCTTCTGTCTTGGTCCCACCCCAGTGGCAGTTTTGTGGCGCTTTGAGGAACCGGAAAAAGAACCTGCTGTTATATCTGGGTCTGTCTCCTGCCTTGTTATTTGAAGAGGGCTATAGAGTAAGGGGAGGGAGTCAAGAAGAAAGTCTGACTCTCCATAGGTTCAGTCTGCTGATCTGGGCAGGAACATCTAGACCGTTGGTTCTCAGCCTTCCTAATGAAATGCTGTGACCCTTTAATACAGTTCTTAATGTTGTGGTAACTCCAACCATAAAATTATTTTCATTATTACTTAATAACAGTTTACTACTGCTATGAATCATAATGTAAGTTTCTGTGTTTTCTGATAATCTTAGGCAACACCTGTCAATAGTATTCAACCCCCAAAAGGAGTCACAGACACCCTTGCTCCATCTCTCATCAGTACACAGTGGGCCAGCTCCTCAGCTTTGCCTGGGATCTGCTGCCTCCAGTCACTGGCCTCCTGGGACCCTCTGCATGGCTTGCAGGACTGGGATCTCCTTTCCAACACCACACACAGTCAGCTCCCTGGAAGCTGAAGGAGGGGCTGAGAGTGCCTGCAAATCCACCATCTTTAGATTGGGCTGGGTTCTTGGTCAGCAGCTTGGTGCAGTTCCTGGTACTAGGCTTCTAGGGTGGACTATTTGCCTTTGGTTCATCCCAGCAGGTGCACACAACGTAACTGCCCAGCTTTTTTCTGTGGCTAGCTTTTTGCCACACCCCCTCTACTCTGGGTCAGGATGATAAAGGCGTGGATTTCTGTGTCCATAAAGCAGAGCTCCACTTGGCAGTTCTTCAGCGGGTCGAGGATCAAGGTGTGTGGTCTCCAGAAGAGAAAATTCCCTCCAGATAAACCAGCAGTGCTGAGAGCTGGTGATTTTTCTGGGTCCTGTCTGTACCAAGATGCTCTCCTGGTGTAGGACTTGTGTTCTGTACTCAAGAAGAAACGAAGGTTATACTTTCAATGAAGTTTCATAGTAATTCAAAATGGGAGAACACCCTGGAGGAGGAAGGTGTAGTCTATCTGGCCGCCCTCTTCCAGCGGTAGTAGGATCACCTGAGCTATCTAGACCGAGGGTGGGGGCGGAGTGGAGGTGTTCAGGTTTGAGTTGTCCCCAGAGCTCCAGATCTAAGCCTCACTATTCAGGAAGATCTCACCTGATCCCGCCTCTGCAGTTTGCTAAGGGGTGGGGTACGCTTCCTCTTGTAACTGACTCAACAGCTTTTCGGGGCCTACCTGAGAGCAGGGCACCGATGCCGGTGCCTCCTCCTGTGATGGTTGTCCCACTACAGAAGCTAAGAATTAAGGGTTCTAAAAGGGCTTTGTTTGATTCAGGGAAAAAAAGCAAGATTTAAAAAAAAAAAATAGACGGTCTCATGTTGTAGTCCAGACTGGCGTCAATCTCGCGACAATTCCCGTTTCAATTTCCCGAATGTTGGGATTCCGTTAAGCTCGGAAACCCGAGTTTCTACTGAATGAATGCCATTAGTTGTACAGAACCCTATCCATAAATGCAAACTGAAACCCAAAGCCCCTGCTCGGCCTGTGTCTCTCCATCCAGGCCTTGAGAACCTCTTAGAGCAAGCAGGACGCCACGTCCTCACCGTAGCCTCCATTGTAGAGGAATAATAAAACATTTCCCGCCATCCTCACGTCCGGTGAGGCAAGTACGGAGTTACGTGAGTCTTTGTAGGTCTTACGTCACTTCCTGCGGCGAGTCCGCTTTGGCTAAAGGTATACATCCGCCCCTTCTGCCAGTCTTTTGGATAGAAGTGAAGCCACTTCCGGGCCCTATGGCCGCCTTCACAGTCTTTTTCCGGGTGATGGAGGCGGGTGCCCCGGATGTAATACCGGCGAAAGCATCTTTCTTTTTCTTCCCCGTCCGACCCTGGGTGCCTAGGTGAGCACCGGCGGGTAAGATTGAATGCCTGTGGGTTTGCTTCGCCTCTAGTTTGTACGCCGAGTTGGATAAGGCCGAGCAGGTCGCTATGTGGAATTTGGGATTCGAGGCTACTAGGGCACCAGCTCTTGGGTCCAACCGGCCTCTGAGGGCACTCCGGTGGGAGAGGTGGTTGAGCTCCGTAGCTCTGAACTGATAGGGGAGTGATGACGTAGGGGGAACCTGGCTTTTTTTTTTAGCCCTTTAGGTGGGAGTACCCACAGGGTCCACGCGGGGGCGGAGAGCCTTCACATAGCCTCCCTTCAGGGCCTCTGAATTGCCAAACCAATTCCGGACGTCGTTCCGGCTAGTTGATCTTTCAGATGGTTTAGTGATCCGTCCTCTCTCACATTTACCAGGAAAAATGTTTGTGGAGCCTGTACGTTCTCACGGGCCTCTCTCCTTACCTAATCTCCTCACTTGATGACTCTTTTCCGAGGTCCAGCTGGAGGAAATCTACTGCCAATCATGCCAAAGAGGAAAGTAACTTTTCAGGGTGTTGGAGATGAGGATGATGAAGATGAACTCAGTGTTCCCAAAAAGAAGGTGAGATGGCCAGATTCTTAAGTTCTGTGGAGGACTGGGGAAGGAGAGGGAGAAGTCTGATAGGAAAGCCGGGAAGCCAAGGAAGGGTTAGCTTTTCCAGGTGCACTGGGTTTGGAACGATTCCAGTTTGTGTACAGATCCTGGAATATTTGGGAAACTAGCCAGTAGTCTGCGTTTCTCATTTGCTTCGCCCTCCTCACAGCTGGTGGACCCTGTGGCTGGAGCAGGTGGTCCTGGGAGCCGATTCAAAGGCAAACACTCTTTAGACAGTGATGAAGAGGACGATGAGGAGGAGGGGTCCAGCAAATATGATATCCTGGCCTCAGAGGATGTAGAAGGTGAGCTATTTCCAAAGCATTAGCTGTGTTGGAGAGACAAGTCAATTAAGTATGGAGCTGGGAGGTGTGTTGTTTGGTTTTTTGCCAGTCTAGCATGCCCCACCCCCTGTCTTTGGTGCAGGTCAGGAAGCAGCTACTCTCCCTAGTGAGGGGGGTGTGAGGATCACACCCTTCAACCTCCAGGAAGAGATGGAGGAAGGCCACTTTGATGCTGATGGCAACTACTTCCTGAACCAGGATGCACAGATCCGAGACAGCTGGCTGGACAACATTGACTGGGTGTGGCCCAGGAACTGTCCTGGCTGAGGCCTGGGAATGCTGGTGCTGGGCCTGGGCCCTGGTGGAAATTTGTAAGAAATGATAATTATCTTTCCTTTATAGGTGAGGATCAAGGAACGGCCACCTGATAAGCACCAGGTCTCAGACTCAGAGGAGGAAGGCAGCCTGGGTCAGACTCCGATGAGTGCCCAGGCACTCCTGGAGGGACTTCTGGAGTTGTTATTGCCAAGAGAGACAGTGGCTGGGGCACTTAGGAGGCTGGGGGCCCGAGGAGGAGGCAAAGGCAACAGCAAGGGGACTGGACGGCCCAATTCCCCCCAGCGTCTAGACCGGCTGTCTGGGTTAGCTGATCAAATGGTGGCTCGAGGCAACCTTGGTGTTTACCAGGAAACAAGGGAACGGTTGGCTATGCGACTGAAGGGTTTGGGGTGTCGGACCCAGGGATCCCATGACCCCACACCTCCACCTTCCCTCGACATGTTTGCTGAGGAAGTAGCAGAGGGGGAACTGGAAACTCCAACCCCTACCCATGGAGAAGGTAAGTTTGGAGGGCACGGGAGGGGCAGTGTGGGCAGGAGACTGGGTGCTTGAGGCCCAAGCATCTTGATTGTTTCAGAAGCAGAGTCTGCAGGAGATGGTCTGATGGAAGTGATGTGGGAATATAAATGGGAGAACACGGGGGATGCTGAGCTGTACGGCCCCTTTACCAGTGCCCAGATGCAGGTAAGCCCCTTCCTGCTGTGGCTGTCCAGCCCAGCTCCTGTCATTTTGCCTCAGTTTTGTCCTCTGTCCTTACAGACCTGGGCGAGTGAAGGTTACTTCCCGGATGGTGTCTATTGCCGGAAGCTGGACCCTCCAGGCGGTCAGTTCTACAATTCCAAGCGCATTGATTTTGATCTCTACACGTGAGCCCACTAAGGGCCCAGTGTGGCCGCCCCTTCTTTCTTGGACTTGGCAGAGGAGGCCCCAGCTGCCCTGGGTAGTGAGGATATTGGAGGCTACTCCAAAGCTGTTGTCTCTTTCCTAATAAAAGCCTTGACTGTGTTGATGGCCAAGAGCCAGGGCTTCTCCGTAGCTCCTTTTGGCTTCACCTGGTAGGTCCTTGAGTGTTTCCTCCCTAGAGACGTCCTCACATGCTTCTCTCTGCTCTCTTAACCACCTCAGTTTTTGGAGGCAGAGGTAGGGCCCATAAGGTGTCCTGTGACTTTCCTACTTAGACTTCTACTTGTGTGAAATTCTCTCCTGTCACTCTTATCTCCAGTCCCCCTTCCAAGTCCCTGTTCGGCTGAGCTTTGGCTTTTAGTTCCTCAAATTCTCTGTCCTGGCAGCTCCCTTGTAGCTGGGACATTGGGAAGACTTTGAAATCCTATTGGATTAAACATGGATTCTCTTCTTCTCCCTAGTCTGGTTTTTCTGCCCCTCACAACCCTGCAGTCGTTTCTGTAGCTCTTAGGTGAAGTATAAACTTGGTAGCACTTCAGTGTTTCTTGGACCACCATGTGACAGAGGGGCAAAAGGCAGTGACTTAATAGAGAGCTCACAGTTAGAGAGCTGGCCCATGGAGCTAATTCCCCTGACCTTTCTAGCCATAAAGCTTTTTCTTGCTTGACCTTTTAGGCATTGTAGTATAAATTTCCTGGGCTCCCGCATCTTGGGCATAGGGCTCGTGCCTTGAGGAAACAGCTCTGGTCTGGTCCTCTTCTAGGAATCCCGAGTGCAGTAGAGGGCTGTGGGAGGCTGACAGGGACTAACAGTTTTCACCCCACCAGTGCTGCTCTGTGCTCACTTCATCTGTCTATAAGAGGCACCCCAAGAGCTACAGGCTAGCTAGTGGGATCCATGCTAAGAACTTGGAAAGTAGGGGCTCAGCTCAAGCTTGGTTACGGGTATTTGCTGCAGAGACCTCCAAGAAGTCTTAACAAGGGCTGGAGAGATGGCTCAATGGTTAGGAGCACTGACTGCCCTTCCAGAGGTCCTGAGTTCAATTCCCAGCACCCACATGGTGGCTCACAACCATCTGTAATGGGGTCTGATGCCCTCTTCTGGTGTGTCTGAAGACAGCTACAGTGTACACATATACATATAATAAAATAATTCTTTAAAAAAAAAAAAAAAAAAAAAAAAAGAAGTCTTAACAATTAGACCTGTTACTGCCGTCCTAGATGACACTTTCTTTGACTTCAAGACGCCCATTAGTGGTAAGACATCTGACTTAGAGTGTCACTAAGACAGTGAGAACCCTCCAGGTAATTTACCAGTAAGGTAGTACTGGTAAAAGAGGAACTGGCTTTCCGAGATACAGTAGTGAAAACCTGGTGTCTTGGGATGAGTAAAATCCAGTCTCTTGGCCTGAGTGATTGTTCACAAGTGTTTGGTGAGATAGACACCGAGGTGTCCTCCAGGTTCCTCAGACTTGACTGATCTAAAGCTGATTTCTTCCCTCATTGGTTTCTGAGTGCACTTCTGTGATAACACCAAGGAGGGCCCAGAATATTGATCCCTGAAGAAATTTTTTGAAAATTTTTTCACTACGAAGGCCTGGCTGGCCTGAAACTCACCTGAGGTCTGTCTCCCAAGTGTTGAGACTAACCATGATGCTGAGCAAAATTGAAAAATTTTGAGACTGGGAGATTACTTTTGATTATTGGGACCATTGTAATCATCGGGTCCTTCTGCTGGAAAAGGAACTGATTCCTAACGAGAGCACAGGACTCTGAGAGCTGGAAGAGGCATATGAGTCAGGGTCCAGGTGGCCTGGAGAGACAGACAGGAAGGCAGAAGACAGGTTCTTCCCAGACAAGTGCAGCCCCATGGTGGCCGCCCAGTGACACTCACTTTGGACCTGTACCCGCTAGAATTGTAAGATAATAAATTTGTGTCAAGCTACTTAAATTGTGGTCATTTAACAAAGCACCGATAGAAAGTGAAGACACGCCCACCTACTCTCTGGAGAGCCACAGCAACTTTTAGAAGCACTGTTAGGGCTTCACCATCGCCTTCCTGTGGTCTCACATCCAAGCACTAACCTGGCCCAACCCTGCTTATGTTGGCGATTGGGTATATTCTGGGTGTACGACCATGGAATTTCTAAGCACAAAGCCAGTAATTGTTTGGATGGGTTTTTGTTGTTATGAAATAGGGTCTCTCTTAGACCCTTAGACCTTGCGCTGGAATTGATTATGTAGACCAGGCTGGTCTTGAACTTACAGAGATCCATCTGCCTCCCAAGTGCTAGGCAAACAGCCTTCCTCTCCACTCCCTCTCCAATAATAAAACTACAATGTTAATTCTTTAAAAGGGGGTGGGGCAGATGGGCTGGAGGGATGGCTCAACGGTTAAGAGCACTGGCTGCTCTTCCAGAGGTCCTGAGTTCAATTCCCAGCAACCACATGGTGGTTCACAACCATCTATAATGGGATCTGATGCTCTCTTCTGTCATGCAGGCATACATGCAAATAGAACACTCATATACATAAATAAATCTTTAAAAGTGGGGATGGGATGGAGAAGTGCCAGAGCAGTTAAAAGGGCCCAGGCTTGATTCTCGGCACTTACACAAGGGCTCACAATCTAACTCCAGGGGAATCTGCTACCTTCTAGCTTCAGGCACTAGGCATCCAGGTGGTTCAAACAATATAAAGGCAAAGCACCCATACACATTTAAAAATTGTTTTTAATGAGTTTCACATTAGTTGACTAGTCCTTATTCTCCAGCTCTAGTGACCTCTGCTGATGTCCTGTCTCTGGGTGTTTTGGATTAAATGGAAACCATACAATGTGATCTCTTCTGTCTGGCTTCTTAAACCTAACAGTATTTTTAGGGTTTATGGCTTAGGATGTCACTACTTTTTTTTTTTTTTTTAATAGGATCTCTGTGTAGCCCAGACTGGCCTAGATAGAGCTTCTGTGTTCCGGCTGGCCTTGGATTCAGAGATCTGCCAACTTCTACCTCCAGAGTTCAGAGATCAAAGGCATGCGCCGCTGCGACAGCCCAAATACCTCCTTCTTTGTTGTTGCTTACTTACGTTCATTTATTCCCTCCCAGCACCTCGTATCCAGCCTTACCTCCCATTCACCCTAAGTTGAGTGGTTCTTTTTCCCCATTGAGTCCACTTGGTGTTGTGGGAGTTCTGTGGAACCTAGGGTTTGCATCTGCTGGACAAGTACTCCAGCACTGAGGAATAGCCCAATTCAGTTTACGGTTTTGCTTTGTGTGTGGTTGTGGTAGGGGGAGGGTTTGGGAGAATTCTAGCAAGGCCTTGCATCAGACAGCCCCCAGTGAGCTACATCCCTAACCTTTAAAGGTAAAAAAAAAAAAATTGCACACGTCATGTTTTACATATGGGGGGGGTTGTCAGTTATCTCCTGTGTGTGTGGATTCTGGGGATTGGTCTCAGGTGGGCAGGCTTGACAGCGCAGCCGAACCATTTCCCTGCGCCTCCCTCTCTCTGTCCCCCCCCCTCTCTCTTTTTTTGGTTTTTCGAGACAGGGTTTCTCGGTATAGCCCTGGCTGTTCTGGAACTCACTCTGTAGACCAGGCTGGCCTCGAACTCAGAAATCTGCCTGCCTCTGCCTCCCAAGTGCTGGGATTAAAGGCATGCGCCACCACTGCCCGGCTTCCCTACCCCTTTCTTAAACATCTATTTCTTGGAAATTTCTGTAAATTTCTCAATCTGACCTTGAACGAGTCCTCCTATCCCAATCCCTTGGCTGCTAAGGTTATGAGGTATGCCACCATGCCCAGCTGCTATTTGGGAAGGTCTTCTGTTGTCTGACTCTAGTCCTGCTGCCTTTTTATTTTTTACTTTTGACTTCACCATGTATCAGCCCCGACACTCCCTCATTTTCCTGCTGTGAGCCTGTAGTGCGGCTAAACATCATGGTGCAGACAACTGAGAAAGCAGTTCACCACGGGAGCCCTCCTTTCAGCTGTCAGGAAAGACCAATCACTAGATACTTAGTGGGGCTTCCTGGGTGCCCACTCCCTGCTTGTTAGCTGGGTGGTTGTTTCTTCCACTGAGTCTATACCACAGACATGTGACCCAGCACCTAAACTACCTTCCCCATGGTGTTCTCCACTAGTTAGCCTTAGAGGCAGAGTGCTGAAGACAGCGGAAGTGAGCCAGCTTTTCCCTGTCCTGGGGACAGGGGCAGCCCTCTCCTCAAGGAGACTGAAGAGCGAGGATGCCATGGTTCGGTGGCTCATGCCTATATTCCTGGCAGGAGCATCAGAAATTCAAGGACGTCAACTGAAGCTCTTTGGGGCTGTTTAGATGATGGATACAGATGTCTGAACCTAGAGTTCAGAGGGCACTGGAGGTAGTCTTAGTGAATGTTTTCCTTGCTGTGATAAGATGCGGCCTAAGCCAGGTGCTGGAGGCACCCACCTTTGATCTCTGAGTCAAGGCCAGCCTCGTCTATGGCGTGAGATCCAGGATAGCCAAAAATATACAGAGAAACACTGTCTCAGCCAAAACAACAACAACAAAAAACAACAGAAAACCATCATGACCAAAAGCATCATGGGAAGGAAAGAGTTTTTAGTTCATTGTTAAGCTAGCCCAAGCCAGCCGACAGAAACTGAAGCAAAGGCCATAGAAGAATGCCGTTTACTGGCCTGCTCGGCTTGCTGTCTGACGTTACCCAGGGGTGGGATGGTCTGCACTCAGCCCTGCCCATAGTCAAGTGCACTGCAGACCTGCCTACAGGCAAATCTACAGAGATGTTGATCAAGAGTCCCTTTTCCCAAATGACTTTACATAAAATTAACAACAGCCATTCTTACCCTGGAGTAAACTTGTATCATGGGCAAACTCACAAAAAGGCCTTAAGGTCAAAGCTGTAGGTGATACCACATTGAATACAGCTGTCTGTTTTCTAAGAGGTAACAGGAGCCAAGTATGGAGGGAGTCTGGACCCTCTGGGTGAAGTCCAGGGTGTTGGGTTCTGCCCTGGGCATCTGGGGGACTCATGGGGACAAGGAGTAGAGTGATGTCCAAACGCTGCGAAAATAAACCAAATGGGGTGTAGCGGGGGCCCCCTGTGATTCCAGCGCTTCAGGAAAGGAGTTACATAGTCCCCAGATCAAACAACAGCCAGGTGTGGTGGCAGGTGCTTGTAATCTCAGCACTTTGGTGGCAGAAGCAGGAGGATCAGGAATTCACATCATCCTTAGGTTACCTAGCAAGTTTAAGGATAGCTTGGGCTATGTGAGGTCTGTCTTAACCCCTCAAACAACAAAAACCCAACTAAGCAAAAACTAATGGTTTAATTCCGCAAGGATGTCTGACTCGCACACCATTCCTTCCCACATGAAGAGGCCTTAGCCCCACAGCATTCATCTGCTGGTTTTGGTTTGTTTGTGTATGTGTGTATGTAGGAGGTTGTTTGTCTTTTAAGATTTTACCTGTTTTCATGTTTGCTTGCGTGTATGTGCACTGTGTATGTAGTGTCAGCCCGTGGAGGTCAGAAGAGGGTGTTGGAGCCCTGGAAACTTGGGTTACAGATGTGAGCCATCTGTGAGTGGGCAGTGAACCTGGGGCCTCCGCAAGAGAATCGAGTGTTCTTTACTGCTGAGCGATCTCTCAGGTCCTTTTTTTCTTGTTTTGAGACAACAACGTGGCCTCAAACTTTCCACCCTCACATTTCCTTTTAAGTACTAGTATCTTTAGATGTATGACAGTGTCTGATTCCATCTGATGTCTAGATGAGCCATTTTGCTTTGCAGCTGATCCCAGGTTGCAGGCTGTGGCTGTCTACATGAAGTCAGAACCAAGCAGAATGTCTTGAAATGCTACTGAGACCTGATGAATGTCTCAGGTCTGATTTATAGGTAGGTGTGTGCAAGATGGGAGGTGTTGATGCTCTGGGGAGTATGAGGTCACTTCTGAGCTCCCTCTGGAGGCCAGGCTGCCCTTGGTCCTTTTTGGGCTCAAGGCTATGGTGTTAAGCAGGGGTTTCAGCAACCCCAGGCCACCACCAGTACTTTGGGGCCCTATATACAGTCTAGCTACACTCAGCTAATTGCAGCCACTGCAGGCCGCTCCCTAGCAGGTCTGTTCTTCAGAGGCTTGTCTGGCCTAGACCATCTCTAAGGTAAGACTCCAGCTGTCATACTGCAGGTGCTGGGGATGTAGAAGCTAGCAGCCTGTGGGATGCTACTGGGGATGCCTTGAGCAGTTTGTTTTCCTGTTCTGATGCCATCAGTCTTGCTCTGGCTTTCCTGTTCCCACCCTCACCTCTGCCGGCCTCTGCCTCAGAGTTCGCAGTGGCTTCGGGCTCTCCAGCTCCAGTGCCTTGCTCTGAGCACATTTATCTCTGCCATGCCATGCTTGTCAAGGACCTGAGTTCTCACTCAGTCTGCACTGTCCTTGTTCGGAGTCTCAACCCGCGGTTTACAAGGAGCATGAGGCTGTCTGGGATTGGGCCTCCTACCTACATTAGTCCCAACTCTTTTTTTTTTTTTTTTTTTTTTTGGTTTTTCGAGACAAGGTTTCTCTGTGTAGCCCGGGCTGTCCTGGAACTCACTCTGTAGACCAGGCTGGCCTTGAGCTCAGAAATCCACCTGCCTCTGCCTCCCAAGTGCTGGGATTAAAGGCATACGCCACCACTGCCCGGCCCAACTCTTTAATACCTAATTTCCCCATTTTGTGCTGAGGAAGCAGATGAGACTCAGAACGCTGAGGTGACGCCACAGGCCGGTGCTCCCCAGCCTGGGAGTCTTAAAAGAGCTTAACCAGCCTGCCTGTCCCTCAAGTTTAGTCAGGAGATTCAGTGAGTTTCTTTATATTTTTGCCCATTTTCCAACAATTGTAGTTGGGACTGGTGACATGCTTATAATCCTGGCACTCAAACTGATGCAAGAAGAGGCTCATGAGGTCAAGTCTGGACTGGGGCGCACTATGAGTTTGAGACTGTCTTGTGGTACGTAGCATGGCCCTGTCTCAAATTAACTATAATTTTTAGAATTAGGTTATCTTCCTCTTACTGAGATATGAGAGACATTTCTATATTCCAGACACAATCATGGTCAGATGTAACTGTCAAGTGTTCTCAGGCAGTAACTTCTCTTTCCTCTCTCCGGCTTCTTTTCTGAGACAAGATTATGTCTCCTAGACTGGCCTCCAACTTGCATTCCTCCTATGTTCATCTTCAAATACTAAGATTACAGGCATGTACGATTACACTCAGTTTCCATGGTACTGGGTATTGAACTCGGGGCTTTATGAATGCTAGGAAAACATTTTACCAACTGAAACACATCTCCAGCCCCTCTCCTCTTAAAAGATTTATTTATTTATTTATTTATTTATTTATTTATTTATTTATTATATATAAATAAGTACACTGTAGCTGTCTTCAGACACATGAAAAGAGGGCTTTGGGCCGGGCGGTGGTGGCACACGCCTTTAATCCCAGCACTTGGGAGGCAGAGGCAGGCGGATTTCTGAGTTCGAGGCCAGCCTGGTCTACAGAGTGAGTTCCAGGACAGCCAGGGCTACACAGAGAAACCCTGTCTTGAAAAAAAAACAAAAAAAAAAAAAAAAAAGAAAAGAAAAGAGGGCTTTGGACTCCATTACAGATGGTTGTGAGCCACTATATGGTTGGTGGGAATTGAGCTCAGGACCTCTGAAAGAGAAGTCAGTGTTCTTAACTGCTGAGCCATCTCTCTAGCCCTCCTATCTATCTATCTATCTATCTATCTATCTATCTATCTATTTATTTATTTATTTATTTTGGTTTTTCGAGACAGGGTTTCTCTGTGTATCTCTGGCTGTCCTGGAACTCACTCTGTAGACCAAGCTGGCCTCGAACTCAGAAATCCACCTACCTCTGCCTCCCAAGTGCTGGGATTAAAGGCATGCGATACCACCACCAGGTTTCCTTTTTACTTTTTAACTTTATTTTTTATTTTAGTTTTTTGAGACAGGGTCTCCTGTGTAGTCCTTGCTTTCCTGGAATTTGCTTTAAGATCAGACTGGCCTCGAACCTCCCAGAGATCTGCCTGGTTCTGGAGTGCTGGAATTAAAGGCATGTACCACTACCACCCTGCAATTTCTTTTCAGTTTTAAAAATCAGTATCTCCTGTTTTGTTTTGTGTCTGTCCCTCTCAGCCCGTCCTGACTTTCTCCCAGGGCTTCAGTATGCTGAGGCAACAGGTAAGCGATGCCTGCAGCCCTTCCAGTTTATACGGTCACATGGCGGTTAACGATGGAGGTGTCAGTTGGCTTGGGAGTCGGTGTGATGGTTAAGAGCACTGGCTGATCTGACAGAGGGCCTGAGTTCCTGTACTCACATGGAGGTCTACAGCATCTGTAACTTTGGCTCTGGGCACATGTGACCTGGCCTCCCCAGGCAGCAGGCATATATGTGGAACACAGACATACACTACAGACAAAGCACCCATACACATAAAGTAAAATGCAAAAAAAAAAAAAAAAAGAGTGAGGGGGGTACCATCTGAGGAACAAGTTACTAGGTGATTGCTTTTTCTTTTTTGTACAATTGTGCCAACATCGTAGAGTGTTACTGCACAGACCTAACTAGTGTCTAACCTGTCCCACGCCCGCCAGTTGGATCCTGTGCTGCAGCCCTGTACTTGTAAATGGCTTGGACGAGTGTAAGGATGTGCGAATATTTATCCCTAAACATAGAACAGGGCCAGTAAAGAGGCCAGGCAAGCTACCAGGGAAGCATGAGTGATCTCCAGGACACGATCAGGACACTTGGAGATGAAGCCCACTCTTCAGGTTGTATCTCTCCACAGGTGAACACACCCTTTGCATGGGCAGACCCAGACAAGCTGGAGGGACCCAGACAAGCTGGTGACAAGACAGTTTCAGTCACAGTCACTCCCCTGTGTTTTTTTTTTCTTTCCATTTTTTTGGAGACATGTTTTTTCTGTGTAGCCCTGGCTGTCCTGGAACTTGCCCTGTAGATTAGGCTGTCCTCAAACTCAGAGATCCACCTACCTCTACCTCTTTTTTTTTTTTTTTTGGCTTTTTCGAGACAGGGTTTCTCTGTGTAGTTCTGGTTGTCCTGGAACTCACTCTGTAGACCAGGCTGGCCTCAAACTCAGAAATCCGCCTATCTCTGCCTCCCAAGTGCTGGGATTAAAGGCGTGCGCCACCACTGCCCGGCCTACCTCTACCTCTTAAGTGATTAAAGGCCTGCAAAACCATGCCTGACATTTGTTACTGTTTTGGGTGGTTGGGTGTTTGTTTATTTGTTTGTTTGTTTTTGAGACAAGGTTTCCACTACCCTTGGTTGGCCTGGAACTTGCTGTGTAGACCAGGCTGGCCTCCAACTCACAGATTCACCTGCCTCCTTTTGAGTGCTGAGATTAAAGGTGTCAGTCACCATGCTTGACCTGTCAAGTCTATTGCTGTTTTAAACTATACTCTTCCGTGTTCAGCCCTGTTCCCAAGTTGTATCCTCAGTCAGTGGCTGCAGAGATGGACTTGGAAGGATCCTTGGGTTTTCCACTGACATCTCTGAAGTTCTCTGTGGAGGTCAGCAGGGGGCTCCATTCTCTGTGAATACTCATGCGGTGTGTGCTAGACAGATGTGGGGAGAAAGGCAGTTCTGGGAGACTGGCTGTGACCGCCATGGTAGACTTGCCTGGACCCCCCCTGCCACCGACTCATTTGGGTCTGTATAGATGCAGAGCTTTTGACCCCTCCCTCCTGGGGGTATGAAGTATATGGAGTGGACTGTAGACCCTGGGAGCCAACTGTGAACTGCCATGTAAGTTCTAGGCATCCAACCTGCGTCCTCTGAAAGAACAAGAACTCTTAACCACTGAGCCCACTCTTTTGACGGGATTGTTTTGGGAATTTCCCCAGTGATCATGTATTCAGACCTAGTAGTGGGCACTTGGACTATCTGTACACTTCTCATAACACCCGCTCTGCTGACGAGGAGGAATTGTTATACAAGTGTTACCCTCCTAGTAGTTGGAATGCAGGACCTGCAGAGATGCTTCCTGAGGGAACGGCAGGGTAACTGAAGAAGCGGGGTGGACGTAAGGGTTGCTTGGGCCAATAGTTATGCAGCAAGAGGCATAGACCTATTTCAGTTTCTCTGTTGTTTGAGACATGGCCTGGCTTCCATTACAGGCAAATGTAAACCTGCCAACCTAAGTCAGGAAATTCAACCCCTGCTACCACCACCACCACCACCGCCGCCGCCGCCACTAACCACCACCACCACCGCCGCCGCCACAGCCACCACCACCACCACCACCGCTGCGCCCACACATACTTTTACTAGTATTGCAGATGGAACCCAAGACCTTGTTCATGATCTGACTGTAGCAAGGAGATTGTCATCTATCAACAAAAAAGTCAGCTGGTCTATTTAGAAATAACAGACATTTCATAGAGCCCCATCAGGAAAGATCAATAAACTAAAAGCAAAAGAAACAGAGGAAGGTACCAATCACCATCTGTTGTTTACTCTTTTCCCCTGATCTCTATATTTCTATCAAACAAATTAAGATTATTTCTGTTTTTCTTTTTCTTTTTTTTTCATAGGGCCCCAGGGCTCCTTGAGAACATAAGGATGTGATCTTGTTTCTAAGGAAGATGACGAGAATGAAGGGGTTTTCCATGGTGTCTGTTCTTCCCCGCACACCCCCGTGAACTAGAAAAGTTCTTTGTTCAAGAAGTATTAATAACATAAAATACTAGTATGGAGTTATTTTTTCCACATGTTTTTGAGATTACAATACAATTACATCATTTCTCCTTTTTGTTTCCTCTCTCTAAATTCCCCCACATGTTCCCCCTTGCTCTCTTTCAAATTCATGGCCTCTTTTTTTTTTTTTTTTTTTTTTTTGGTTTTTCGATTTTTCGAGACAGGGTTTCTCTGAGTAGCCCTGGCTGTCCTGGAACTCACTCTGTAGACCAGGCTAGCCTCGAACTCTCGAACTCAGAAATCCGCCTGTCTCTGCCTCCCAAGTGCTGGGATTAAAGGCGTGCGCCACCACCGCCCGGCCTTTTTTTTTTTTTTTTTTTTTTTGATTTTTCGAGACAGGGTTTCTCTGTATAGCCTGGGCTGTCCTGGAACTCACTCTGTAGACCAGGCTGGCCTCGAACTCAGAAATCCGCCTGCCTCTGCCTCCCAAGTGCTAGGATTAAAGGCGTGCGTCATGGCCTCTTTTTTTATGCAATTCTTGTTACATAATATATGTACATAATAGACATTCCTAAATACATAAATACAACCTGCTCAGTCTGTACGCGTTGCTCATATGTGTTTTCAAGGCTGACCGTTTGGTACTGGATAACCAATTGTACTCTCCCCAGGGTAAGGCTGTTTCCCAGCTCTCTGCATCCTCACTGTTCTTTGTTTAGGGTGGAGGCCTCATGAGCTCACCTTCATCCACATTAGCTTGTCTGTTGGTGTCCTCCTTGTTCAGGTCAGGCTTAGGCAGCCGTGTTGAGGAGGAAGGCAAAAATGACAATGATATCTGAAAAAAAGTCACAAGGAATCAATTTATTAAGTATCCAGCTAAAAACACCGATCATGCCTGTCTCTGTGTTCACATATACATATATATTTTAAGTGAAATTTTCCCACTTGGGTTGACAATGCACTCCACGGGCCAAAGACCTTTAATAAAACCCTCCACTCAGGCATGAGAAGCCCTCTGTTGTTGTCTAGGCTATCGATATTGCCCTTGGTTGCCCTCCAGAGAGGGAAAGTAAGTCCCTATTGCTGAAGACACAGGTCCCAGAGGTCCTGGGGATCCAGGTTCCTCCTCTGGCCTCCACAGGACATACTACAGATGAGGAATACATTCACACAAACATATAGACCTACACAAGTAAAGGGAAAATAAATCTTTAAAAAATCTGAACTAAGCCTGAGTTTTGAACCCAGGTTCAGCATATTCTAGCTGTATGAACTTAGGTTAGCACTTGGCTGTTAGCTGCCATCCCTCATGTTCTCCCTGATATCAGAGTCAGAGCCTCACTCCACTGTCCTCTTCTCTTCATTCAGCCATAGTCAGTCAGTCTGCCTATCTATCTATCTATCTATCTATCTATCTATCTATCTATCTATCTA